CACTTCTATTTATAGCCCCAAGGGCTAAACTAGCCGTTACCCCTTCACTAGGCAAAAATCGGGCCGACCGAACGCTCCGATCGTGCTGACCGGACGCTGGACCTCAGCGTCCGGTCGTCCGCAGACGGCCACGCGTCCCGATCCCAACGGTCACTTGACCTGACCGGACGCAGCAGTAAAACTGACCGGACGCTGAAGCCCCAGCGTCCGGTCGTTTCCAGTAAGCTCCCCGAGGCATATTTTCTCGACCGGACGCGTCCGGTCCACCTTGACTAGACACAGACCAGCGTCCGGTGCAATACCCTCGATACAGTGCAGACCCGTCAGTTTGACCGGACGCAACCTTTCAGCGTCCGGTCGCTGCATGACCCAGCGTCCGGTCAGTAGACCGACGCCAGCATCTTCGCGATCAGCTCGTTTTCACTTCTAACTTCTTCACCCTTACTCCAATGTGCCAACCACAAGAATTTATATCTGGCGCAATAGAAAATAGGCATTCCATTTTTCCGAAAGCGCCGAATCCCGCCGAGTGTAAATGTGCCAACACCACCAAACCCATCTCAACCCTGCAAACACCACCTCCTTTGTAAATGTGCCAACACCACCAAGTGTACACCACCATGTGTATGTGTGTTAGCTTTTCACAATCATTTCCCAAAGGATGTTAGCCACTCAACTTGCCACGCCACTCGATCATAGCGGCGATGCAAAGTTAGATCACTCGAGTGGCACTAGATAACCGATATGCAAATAAGTTTGCCCCTCTTGATAGTACGGTCATCTATCCTAAACCCGGTCATATACTTCTCTACACACCTATGACCGGTGAAATGAAATGCCCTAGGTTATACATTTGCCTTGCGCATTCCATTCCATCTCCTCCAATGTCGATGCAACATATGCACCAACATAATCAACAATGATATGATCCACTTCATATCATCACGTGATCATATTGGTTCATCGATCTTGACTTCACTTGCTCTTCACCGTTGCCATCGTTCATCGGCGCCAAGTCTTGCTCAAGCTTCACCGCCACGCGGTCCATCACTCCAAAGCCTTCGACTTGCCCTTCACGCTTGCAACCGGTCCATCAAGCCAAGTCTTGTCTTGATCTTCTCCACCTTGATCACATGACTCAATGTCATGTCTCATGTGTATTTAAGCTCCTTCATCATCATATGTGTGAGTTTTGCAACATCTCCAAGCCATTGTCACCTTCATGACATATGTTGCTCATACACATGTACCTGTGGACTAATCACCTGTGTATCTCACGTAAACACAATTAGTCCACCTAGGTTGTCACTCAATTACCAAAACCAAAGAACCTTTCAACGGTTTTGTAGTTGAGGATTAAAATTAGACCAACACAATAGTTGAGAGGCCAAAAATGAACTTAATCCTTTTTTTTTCATCAAATCGTGAAATCTTTGTGATTAGAGGCAGTATGAAAGCGAGCTTCAACCGCCGCTGGTCAAGATTAGAGAGAGCTTGCTTACTCTGAGGAAGTCAATCTGCCTGTTCTCATCAAAATCAGTGCAGCGTTATAATGGCATTAATAGATCCCACACGTTCCGATGCGAGCGACCTCATAAAACCCCCCGTTCATGGCCAGGCGCTGCCGATAAGTTGCACTGCAGGCGTGCAGTCTGCCCAGAGGGTGGTCGGACTGGGACAGCATCCGGGGCCCAGTGACAGTGAGAGCTCCATTCTCAGGGGAGGGGCGTTCCCCGGTTGCCATCACCCGCACTGCCGCGGCCGCTGCTCCCCGACCCCGACCGCGTCGCCATCCGCACAGCCAGGCATGCCGGGCGCGCTCCCCACGCTCCCTTTCCGCGGCTTCCGACCCGAAGCACCAGCGCCGGGCTTGCATCGCATCACCGACAGGTGGTCCCGTAGCAGGCAGGTCCCGCGGGTCATTGAGAGCGCAGGAGGGTGGGTGCGGAAAAAGCGGGTGGGCACCGGGCCCGCGCGGCGCATTATTTCTCGGCGGCGGGTCCCACGGAGTTAGGGACGGGAGTGGGGGGTGTCTCCCCACCCGCAGCCACACTCCACATCACCGCGGCCTGCACAGGGCGCGCATGGCCTCGCCTCCGACGGCACGAGGGCGACACGTGTGCACACGCACGCTGACATATGGGCCACGCCTCTCGCTATGGCCCGCGGCCAGTGACGTAGTGCAGTAGCTCGTGTCAGTAGCAGCGCGGTCTCTCACCTCGTTCCGGGTCCGTCTCGCGTGGGGACCGGGTGGTGGTGGTGGTGGTGGGCCCACTGGATTGCGGGGGGTGCATTGCATCCATGCTCCATCATTATGTCCTAAGCCCACTGCAGGGCCCCACGCTCATAATTTCATTTCGACCCCCACCCCTTTTTTCCTTCATTATTTTTTTTTTGACTGGAAATGACAAAAAAATGATGAGGTTCTTAGGTTTGCACAACAAATTCTGCAGAGTCTGGACACTGTGCATGCTGTCTAAGCATGGCTGTGGATCTCAATCCAATTCCCAAGCAAATGGGGCCCAGCTGCTGCTTCTTGTTTTGTTCCTGATTTGTTTCAATTTTTTTTAATAAAATCTTGACCATTTGGTGCTTTCTTTCTATTTTGTTGGAGAAATTTGGGACTTGTTTGGTGTAAGATTGGGACTAGATTTTAAACTACACTGCAATGGTTAGCTATGCTTATAGTTATTCATTTCTATTTGCCAAACCATATTTTGCAGGCTACTAATCAAAGGGAGACAAGATCTTGGAAGATCCAAATCCACACCAAACAGTTCTGAATTCTCATCCATTTTGCTGCATTTTAAAAGATATAAACCGCATAACACGTGGGAATGAAAATAAAATTATTGCTTCTCCATGGTGGCCAACAGGTGATTCACCACTGGTACAAGAGACAGATCGATGCTGGCCATTTGTAGCTGCCATCACCAGCCGGGGGGCAATGCTCATTTTTTTGCCCCTCCTCTGATACCAGACCAGACATTCTCAAAAAAGTGTTATAACGCCAGGTCAACACTATATATGGCACTTTGTGCAATTCTGCCTACTCTAGAAAATACTGTTTCCTGTCAGACTGGAACCACCGAATTTTACAGAATTGTTCCCAACAGTTTTTCGAAAATTCTACAGGACCTCAACAGAATGGCAGAAAGGAATTCACCAAGAACAGAATCTTGATTCCATTCATTCGCAGGGTATGCATCTGTAGAGGTATGCAATATGCATGAGAGCAGTAGCACGCAACAGAAATGATGTAGACCTGCAAGACTGACATTTACCGAGATTCATATCAACCATCATGGTTACCTAGCATAAAGAAAAAAAAGGTTAGTAGTAATCAAGGTAATTATGCGATAAAATAAGCACGGCCATGTCTCCCGAAAGGTGAAAGCGAAAGCAGTGAAGTAGTCTAAAAAGCTTTCACCGTTGCAGGGCAGTAATCTGGAGACAAGGAAACATGTGGGTGGGATGGGCAAACCGCCGCATACAGGAGCATAAAAGAACCGCAAAGGCATTAAACTAGCCCCTAATACGTGGCTTTATCGGTTAAGAAAGGGATCAAGCAAAGGTTTACAATAACCAAACCGACATGGTGGCATTGCAGGGCCACCAGCAAGGGAACAAAGGACTCCAGAGCCTACAAGGTACAGGATGCTGCTGTATAAACTACATGGACAAAACAACAGGATATCAAGTGTTGGGACAGCCATACCATACGATCCAGGATTGCTACATACACTGCCAATCTGCAAGAATTATAAACCCTATCCGTCGCTCTCAGCCGCTGCACGCCGCAGTGCTGTTGTCGAATAAATTCGTAAATTGGGATGGGACAACCTGCAAACTATGGCTGTGTTTAGTTCGCAAATTTTAGGAATTGATTACTGTAGCACTTCCGTTTTTATTTAGCAATTAATATTCAATCATAAACTAATTAGGCTCAAAACGTTCGTCTCGTAATTTCCAACCAAACTGTGCAATTAGTTTTTTTTTCCATCTACATTTAATATTCCATGCACGTATCGCAAGATTCGATATGATAGCTAATGCAACACTTTTTAGGAACTAAACAAGCCCTATAAGAGATAAACAAGTGCAGATGAAGGCTCATTTGGGTTAGTGAAAGATGCCTTTTCAGCTGAAACATGAACAGAATCAGAATTTTAAGTGTCTTCCTTGGAACAAATAGGCAGTGCTCCACATGCACACCAACTAACAGACACCAGTAAGGAGAAAAAGGCACCACAAAAGGAGAAGAGTGGAGCATAACTTCTAATGGGGCAGGCAAATAAAGCCTGATTCCAAGGGATCATAAGGCATTGCCATCTCTCTTGAAATCATAATATTATTATATGCAACCTGAATGATGGTTCAGATGGAAGCCTTTTTAAAATGACACTTTGGAGTTAGATCATAGACAACCATCATGACCTTCAGCAGATAAGTAACTCAATACACTGCATGCCCCACCAGCAATTAGGCATCAAAGCTGGTAAAAAAGGAATCCAAGTTTCCACAAAGAAACTATTGCACACAGGATCACTGTTTCAAAACAAGTTGCTTCATCAGATTTCAACACCATCAAGATGAATGAACCAGAACATGAACACAGATGGACCATACATTTGCAAGCTTCATTAAACATTTATATAGAGGAACAACAAACAGTCCATGGACACTATTTTGCAAACTAGGACACTATTTTGCAAACTAGGTAGGAGTGCTCAATCATAGTAGCACCACACAATGTACCAAACCATTTACACGAATAACACTGGTACGAAGGCTTAACAACAATCAAATAGCGTTTTGTCCATAGACGATGTTGCAAAACTAACATGACAGACGTGGAGTTCTTTACTTGCGTAACAGCAAACCATATAGTAGACCATAAGGCAGAATTCCTCTTAAAACTGTTAGACTTTTTTGTTTTCATAAAGATCCCTACAGTCATTGGATCTCCCTCTTGCTTTGGACTGTAGGAAGCAACCATTCTAGTTGCGGTTCTTGGACTTATCAGCTGCCCTTGGAGCTGCAAAAGAAAAAAAAAAAAGAGACATAGATTATTCAGGGAAGTCAAAGTAAAAAATGGAGCCAAGCCTATTAGATTAACTCTGGAGTTGAATTAGAATACCTTGTTAGCAAGTGACAACTATGATTCAAAGCTTCCAATTTCAATATTTAACTATTAATTTGATACCTATTTTTCCATATTATTATGTGCACTCCAAACTGATAATGACATACTTGGTTCTAGTGTTGATAACAGTACTAATCGGGAAGGTAGGCATCTCTCATCGTGAAGGGAGCATATTTTTGAATTTTCTTTCAGAATCTAATTTTTATATTTTAATTATTATGCAGTTGTTGTTTACAAGGTGAAAGAAAACTTTAATTAAATGTTCTTGCTATATGCAACTGATGATTTTTTTTGAAATGCAAAATGTAACTGATAATGGCTCATCCCACGCCTCTGATTTTGAACCTACATTTGAGTGCTATGTACAAGAAGATGGCAAATGGATTACCCAAGAGAACTATGTACAAGAAGATGGCAAATGGATTACCCAAGAGAGCTACCACCCCAGATGAAGGGACCATGAATTATGTCCCTTTTGTGAGGAACTCCTAATAAAAATTGTATCATGTACAACTAACAACACAACCTACTTGGATCATCATATCATGTACCCTCCCACCATATCCACCAACCAACTAAGACAATATGATTAGCACGACAATACACTAAACAGAATAGGAGTACAAACTTACCAAGTCCAATTGCATCTGATCCTTTCATGATCCTGAGCCTGCGGCAAGAGTCAGCGAACATCCTACAATTGGAGTGAAAGAAAATGTGACGGCTAAATATGTATCTAGTTGAGAAAATGAGCCACAAAATCAAATCGGTAATTAATTTAGTTCCATTTCCATTGTTTTAAGTAAGATCAGTGTACTTACTCCCATGGTACATCGCCGACAAGCATCCAATCTCCATCCTTGTCCTCATAAGTCAGAACATATTCACCATCCTTGCGGTACTCAGATAAGCCGTCCTTGCCTGAAATGGTATTACACCCATACTAACCTGTAAGACCAATAAAAGGAAAACAGAAGAGAGCCTCTTCTTGTACTAAAATTTCTACTGAAGAGACTTGGACCTTATTTTCATTTCCATTATTCTAAGGAAGTGGTGAAAACTAATGAGATATTAGATATATAAATACAGGACCACAGATATCCAAATTTCAGAAATATATAGGGGATGCCACTCTCATAGTGATAATTAGTAGCTTTCTGGAATAATACTCAGGACTCGAAGATATCCTCGAATAATCATACACATGGAGCCAAAATTTATTTTGCCTTACAGGAAATAATATCTTTCTAAGAAAGACTTGATACGGATGCAATAACTGAACAATCAGCAGGGTATTTGTTTAGCAAGGAATAGAAAGTTCACCAAAGAACAAAAAAAAAGGCATGCCAGATTGTTTGTAATCTTACAATTACTCAAAAATAACGGTACGTTGAAGCTATTGCTTATCCTAAGAATCAAGTATGATAGTTTTTAAAGGCTTCTGGATGTACTTCTAACACCATCCACATCAAAATGAAACACAATTACATACTGATGCGCCATCCGAAAGAGGGAGAGTAACCCGAGACATCTCACCAGTACTGAAGCCATTGAACATCTTCTCAAGGGCAGTCGACAGGTCCTTGTAGTTCTTGTAAGTCTTGAGGTCAATCTTCCTGAGGTACGGCGCGCCATCCATGCTGACCTTAACGTACAGGAACCCCTGGCCCTGCTTGGCCTCAGCATCCTCCTTGCTGCCCTTCAGCTGGGTGGTAGCCATCGTGTTCTTGCGGTAGCTGCGGATTGGTGGCCATCCCACCACCTGAGCTCTGCACAACACACCTGAGCTCAATAATCTTTACAACCACGGAACGAAGAGGTAGATCAGGAGATGCTCTACCGGTGACAAAATAAAGAAACGAATCTTGGCGAATTTTGGGATGAAAGTCACAGAATTTGAGCAAGGTAATGCCAAATCAAATTGTTATGAACAAAATACAACAAAAACAAAGCAGGGAGATCAGAGAAAAGATGAGAAGAGCTTGAGCAAGCAAGAAAAGTGGGGGAAAAAAAACCCAAGGAAGCTGAAGATAAATTGAAGGGCGCATTTTGGAAAGTAGAGAATTTGGAGGAAAAGTGGGAATTTAAAAGAACATCACAAAGCTGCAACTTTAGTTTCCCTCCTCTAGGCCCCAAGACAAACCGAAATTCCCACCCAAATAAGAGTAAAAACAAATCGAAAATACCAAGCCAAGAGAGATCCCCTGACATACAATTCAGCCCCTTTTCAATTCCTCGCACCCTTTTGTTTTCCTGAAAAGCACAGAATTTCCAAAGATAATTTTCTGTTACAGAACCTGAAAATGTCATGAACTCCAAGAGCCCAGCAAGATTTCCCAAACAGCAGAAAACTTGCTCCCAAACAAAGGGGCAACAATCACAATTTGCAAACCACTAGTGGCCGCAGTCCAAAGAACCATGGAGAAACGCCAGATGAACGCGCTGGCAAAGCCCCAATCTTCCCCTTTTTTCGTTTGAGGCAGTAAAACCCCAAGATCCACTTCCACACTCCACCTACTTTGCAGCCGGCTGCGGCGTCGCTGCAACCTTCTTGTCGTTGTCCGCCTCTTCCGCCACCTTCTTTCCCTTCCCAGCAGCGGCAACGGGCGATGGCGGGGGCGCCTCGTCAGAAAACCCGCGCTTGGCGCCTTTGGCCGGGAGCAGGTCCAGGGTGGTAGCGGTGGCAGCCGCGACACGGCGTTCCGGCGACCCGGACCCCGGCAGACCGAGGCGGAGCTCGGTACCCTTCAGGTCGTCGTCGGCACCGGCAGCGGCGGCGGCGGCCGCCGGCGGCGAGAGGCCTATGTAGTCGAGCTCGAGTGGGGGCGACATGGGGAGCAGCAGGACATGAACCGGAGGGTGGGAGAGGTGAGGAGTGGCTGTTTGTGTGTGGGGGTAGCCGGTAGGGGGAGAGTGGGAGTCTGGGAGTGGAACGGAAGGGGAGAGAGTGGGAGCCGGAGCGAAGAGTAGTGGTTTTGTTTGAGAGGTGAACAAGTGAAAGTTCCCTGGGTCGAGCTGGCTTGGTTTGCGACACTTGGGCCGTGTTGAGCGGGCTTGGTTTGCGACACTTGGGCTGTGTGTTTAGTTGGGTGAAAGTTGGAAATTTGGTTACTGTAGCCCTTTTGTTTTTATTTAGTAATTAGTGTTTAATCACGAACTAATTAGGCTCAAAACGTTCGTCTCGCAATTTTCAACCAAACTGTGTAATTAGTTTTTTTTTCGTCTACATTTAATGCTCCATGCAAGTATCGCAAGATTCGATATAACAGATACTCTAGCAACTTTTGAGAAAAGTTTTCGCCAACTACTGCGGAGTGCTAGTACTAGATACGTTTGAGGTTTGATAATTAATAATTGTAAACTAACGACTTTATATAAGACATGAAAGGTTAAGTGATACTAAGTGAGCTACATGCAGGCATAAATATGAGATGATATTTTGGCTTATGTCGTGTTTGTGCTGATTTGTTGTGAGAGAAAAATACTATTCGTTCGCTGAAAAGTACCGCTAAAGTAGTTCAAACGAAAAGGGCCATAGAAATGTGATGCAAAAAACTCAACAAGGAGAAAATGGAGATGAAGGATGGGAAAAAAAGTGAAGACAGATGTATATCCATAGGTTTTATCTTTTATCGGCCACGAGGTGTTTAGTGGAGCAGATAGTTATACTCTCAAGAGGATCAAATCAGTTGTCTACTGTTATTTGTGAGATCAATCTTTGTATTGTCTATAGATTCAAGTGGTGTTTTGAAAATCACGTGATAACCTTTGGAAAAAAGTTTAAAAAATGTTAACTAAGGTTTAAAGGTGTTGATCATCCTATAGATCACTCGGAGTTAGTGTGTGTTGGTATTTCTTAACGTTTACAGAAAAAATCCGCAAGCATATGGATTTACCGTTGCAACTTTCACCCGAAAGTATTTAGGGTACCGTATTTTTCACGGGGAACGGAGGTATTTCTTCTAGCTAATTCATCCAAGGACAACACAAGGATAGCCGATAAGGGTAGAGAAGGATTCCTATGGGTCAGGGTCCAAGGATAGATAAACTCTACTGATACTTGCTTATTTCGAGCACCGGATTGCACCTGTTCTGTCAGGCGATGCCGGCCTGTAGCTCTACGTCTATCCGAACGTGGAGGATTACGAGGGACGGACATGGCTATCACCACCTGCCACCTACCCCTCAACCGTGGAGTACGAGGCAAACGAAGGTAGCCTCTAGCCTAGACACCACGTCTGCGCTATCGACTACTACTCTAGCGTCGATCAGGGTTATCCGTCTTTATCAGGGCCCTCTACTAGAGTATCCGCTACAAGAGCGGACGATGAACCCCAAATAAGTAAGACTAAAGCTTAACTAGTCAAAGACTTTATATCAAAAGAATCACGAACACTTACTTAGCAGGAACACACGTTGAAGTACAAGTACTCGTTGAGGTACAAGTTGGAGAGATACCGATAAGCCCGGCACTTCCTCGTACTCTTCCCTCACATCTCTCCCTACTAACTTTAGCTAGCTATCTAGGGCCTAAGCCCATTGGAGTGGTGTTGCTCTAGCTCTTCTTTGGTGCTCTTCTTCTCTTGTGTGTTATTGTCAAATGAGGAGGGGATGGCCTTCTTTTATAGGTGGAGAGGAGGGGAGTATTCCTAGAATATTCCTTGCATCCCCTCAAATGGAAAAAGCAAACCGACGTCCTCTGCATTGATTGCACCGCCAACCCCTTGGAACTATCATTGGAGATGCGGTATGAGGCGATCGACCAAACCTTGGCCTAGATGGAGCAGGTGGGGGTGCGGCCACACCCCAAATTGGCCCAACTTCGTTGGGTTGCCTCCTTTGATCTTATGGACTTAGCCCAAGGTGGTTTGGCATGGATTTGAGTTGATTTGGTTTGATTTTGGGCTTCTTATCCACTCGTCTAGGCCCTAATTTGTCTAGTAACGAGCCTGCTCCCCCTTGGGCTCATGTCGGGTATATGTTTTGTTGGGTTTCTTGTACACTTTAAGCTCATTTTCTGTGTAATCCTGACATGTCCTCCTGCAAATGAATAGTCACCAAAACTCGTGGAATTGATTAGTTATAAGTTCTAATTCTAAGTTTGGTGTTTATATAAGTTCATTTTATGTGAGAGTTGGCAGTTAGAAATATGAGTTAAGGACCGCCAACAAGCTCCCCCACACTTAGCTCTTTGCTCGTCCTCGAGTAAAGTTCAAGGGACTAAGATGGGTCATCTCCTTGATATATAATGTGCATACAAGTTATTCCAAGCTTCACCTGAACCTGTGAACATTTTAAGTGTCTACCACATTATCTTGGGTGATTGAATAATGGAACAGTATAGATTCAAATCCCCTTGCATCAATCAGTTCAGAAACTTAGGTTTTCATTTAATTTTAAAAATATAAACATAGCTTATCTCCTCAAATGATTCTCTCGGATCACTTATATTTGTGTTTGGTTCCTCACCAAGGCATATCATAGTGTTGCCTTCTTTCTTTTCTACTTCTAAAAAGCTCATATGGATCTTTGGATAGAGAACGATATGAAGGCACACTTACTCTGCATATTTTGTTAAGTCAAAGCTTGGATCTAAGGAAAAAGATGTCATACCCTTAGATCAAGAAGTGCAAGTGTGTGGATAAAATAATGTTAAACCTACACTACACTCCTTGATATGAGTGATCTCTCTCATAAACTTTTATTCTGAGACATGGCTATCATTATATTTATTTTTTTCAATACTTCGGGACCATCATGTGTCCCATTTTTTTTCTCAATACCTTGGGACCTTCATGTGTCTCATTTTTTCAATACTTTTGCATAGCCTTTGTCTCTTTCTAAACTACATATTCAGAGAGAGATCATTATCTTTTTAGAGCATGAAGTATATGCCTAACAAACATATTTTTTTGTCTACTCCCAGTGTAGGAGCAGAATTTTTGATGGATCTAAAATGGAAGCACGTTTTTGCATACTCCTAGTGTAGGAGCAGTATGTGTATGTGGGTGTACATAATCTTGATCTGGGGGCATGATAACTTTCTCAACAAGACTTGACAAGACTCAACGCAGAAATAAGTAGCATAATTTTTTGAGGTTTTACGCTCTAAACACTAGATATGCCTTTGGTAGGAAGTTGCATACACTACTACACTCAGACCTTTCACAGCCACATCGTCACCCCCATCGCAGTCCAATTTCGGCCTCGGTAGTAAGCTGTCAGCCATGATGATCATAGTCCTCATCGTCGCTATCTGAGACCGTCTGCCGTGTACACTAACACCGCCGTATTGGCTTATGATCCATCCGTGATAAGGTCTTTACTTCCATCGCATTAGAGCACGACCCCGCTGTGTGGGTATACACTAACACCATCGTATTAGCTTATGATGCGTTCATGATTAGGTCCTTGTTTCCATCGCATTAGAGCACGACCAGCCTATGTGGGTGTACACTAACACCATCGTGTTGGCTTATGATCCGTCTGTGATCAGGTCCTTATTTCCGTCGCATTGGAGCACGACCCACCTGTGTCGAGGCGAACATCACCGTCGCTTCAGCGTATGAACCGTCTGGTCATAGGACATGGTTACCATCGCGTTGTAGTATGATCCGCCCATGATGATCCTTTAGTTAGTGTCGGGTTACTAAACGATTTGACGGTGATACACTATTGACCCTTGCCATATCAGACGAATAGCGGCGGTGATGGCCGTCTGCTTCACCAATGGTGAGTGGTATGGCAGTGATGACAAAACAACCAACGGTCCATACATCCGACGGTGACAGAATTGCATTCGGTTTTCACAATGTATTTACTAATTTAGCCAGGCCTTAATAACTTACTGAACACACACCATACAGATATAATCATTAAACATCATTCATCATGTCCACAACGAAGAGTACTTGTTATAATAACAGTGCTCGACACTAACATAACAACTGTGTCAACTGATGAATTAACACAAACGGTACATAGATAGCATAATAAAGGTTCTGCTCCCTACAGACTTACATAACTAAAACGAGGTAAATGGGCTCCGCTCCTTCAGATTGGCACTCCTTAATCAGCTTGGCAGCCAATGCACCATGGAACCCCTCTTCTTCCTCCCATAGCCATTGCAGAAAAATTGTTCAAAAGCACTGACACTCCAAAACCTACACAATGCAAAGCAGCAGAATTAATAATATCCAACATACCATTGGTTTAGTTACCAAGCCAAAATTGGACTATATATAGACTCAAAACAACTCCCTACATGAACAAAGACATGTCCTAACAACAAAATACAATATATGCACCTTTACTGCTCTGCTAATGACTCCATGAACAAGGGAACATAAGGCAGATAGTGAGGTCCGTTCAAATAAATACTCCAGGTACTTCTAGGATAGCGAACGACCCGAGTAGGGAGGACATGAATTTTTTTGTGGCTCATGTCATATGCCATCAATGTTCTATCCTCCCCAACAAGGAAAATCAAATTCCATTCTAGGTGAACTACAATCACTCTATAGTCCGCATTGGTAGCCTCAGAACTGAGTCAAATATTGTTCAGTCCAAATAGCTACAACGTTGTCGGGGTTATGATACCCCGGTATCTCAAGGCACCGATTAGAAAGCCGCTCGGATGACCCATGATACGCCAGCTAGTATAAGCCCAAACGATGAAAGCCCAGCTAAGCTAAGCGGACCGGTCCAAACGCTAAGGTCGGGGGTCGCCACGACCCCTCCATTTGCCTCAGTCGCACGCCATGAGGACTCACGACCACTCCACCATCTTGGCCCTTGGGAGGAACAGGGAGAGATCAAGTCCAACTAAGCGT